ATGATAAAGATGAGGATATATTTTAACAGCACGTTTATTTATTTAGAATAACTCATGTCCGTAGAGATGGATCAATTGAGATGGTTAAAAAGTATTCTAACCGACCAAATTTAATATAAGTAAGACTTACATATTGTTGACGTGTTTGTATCTATAGATAAAGAAATAACAAAACTCTAGTAGATGGAAAACTAAAACATACAAGTAAATATAATTCCACCTAGTTTATTGTAAAACCTCCTCCAGTTTTATGCAAACGTGGGGTGACAACAGCCTGCTACCGATGAGCTTTATAGAAAAATGCTTTTAGGCTGAGGAAACAATGATGGGAAAGATCATGATATGCAATCAACTTTCAGGTTGGATTTGATGCGATGGTCGTGCAACTTCTGGTGGACAGGATTGACTCCCCCTGATCAATATCCTCTTCTTCCTCATGTTCTGCTTCTAGCATTTTCTCATGCACCTCATCATTATCTATGGCAGATTGTGCTGGGGCGGGATCTGGAGCAATATCTTGGGGACTGAAATTAGGATTATGAGACATTGTGGACTTTTCAATGTCTTCTAATGTCTGGTTTTCACGGAAGTTGATGACCTTTTTTGTCTTTAGGTCCCATAATTTGTATCCAAATTCGTCATAGCCTATGAAGAAGTATGGAGTGGTCCTTGTATCTAGCTTCTGTCTTAGCTCCTTGGATACGTGCAAAGGCTAAACAATTGACTACTCTCAGGTGAGAGTAGGAGATATTCTTACTGGACCATACTTTCTCCGGAATTTCAAAATTCAATAGTACTGATGGTGATCTGTTGATTGGGTAGCAAGCGGTTCGAACAACTTCTCCCCAAAATGGCTTTGGCAGCTTAGCCACACTGAGCATGCTTCGGACCTTTTCCATGATCATCCGATTCATTTTCTATGCTACTCCGTTATGTTATGGGGAACATGGGACCGTCTTGTTATGTCGAATACCATGTCTTGTGCAGTAAGCATCGAACTCTTTAGAAGTGTACTCGCCTCCATTGTTTGAGCGGAGACATTTCGGTTTCTTTCCTGTTTCATGCTCTGCCATGGCGTGGAACATTTTGAAGTAATCTAATACTTGGTCCTTTGTCTGCAAGAAGTACACCCACACTTTTAGAAAAGCATCATCAATAAATGTCATAAACGTACTTGTTACTGCCTAGTGATTCAACCTCTAAGGGACCACAAATATCAAAGTGTACTAGAATGAGCAACCATGATTATCTCATCGAAGATAAATTAAAAGAGACTCTATGTTGCTTACAAAATAGACGGTGATTGCAAGGATCTAGCGTAGATTCCTTGGCAACATTGATTAGCTCTTTCTTTGTCAAGGTAGACAATCTTTTATCACTCTCGTGACTGAGTCTCTGGTGCCACAAATTTTAAGAAACCTCATGTTCTACTATGTTGAGGCTGTCTGCACATATTTTCACAAAAGTCTCATATAACATGCCACATATATGTCCTCAAGCGACAACCATAGACCTTTCATCATTTTCCATGTGCCATTGCTAAAGTGAAGCCCTGTTTGTCAAGGGCTATCCTTTAAAGTAGATTTAGCCTATTTACACCCCATGTTCATTTGTATCCGAACATCACCAATTCCCACGATTTTAGAGGAACTGATATTTTCCATTTTTATTGCACCAAAGTTGCCAGCTTTATATGTTGTGAAGAAGTCTAAGTGGAACGGCATGGTAAGATGCCGCAGTATTTATCACCCACTCAGCGTCTTGGCTTGAGACCTGAAGGCATGTCTCCTCATGGATAGAGCAAATAGCCACCTTCCCTAAGATGTGACTAGCGTCTCTCCATTCTTATTCTTTGGCTACGAGTTGTTTTGGCCTTGCTCTCGTAGAAATTTTCGACAGTTCTTCTTTAAGTAGCCCTCCATGATACAGTGGTAACCTCAGAAGCACGGATACGTTGCCGGCAACAACGTGTCGGTGTCCGACACGTATTAGACACCGGTACGCGATCGACACGTCGTCGACGCGTGTCGGAGTTCCTTGCGACGTGTCGGAGGCGAGAAAATGAAGATAGCTTGAAGAAATCGGTAAGAAAAATAGATGGGAGGGAAGAAATGCTAGCTTGAACAGCAATACCTGGGAAGCCGTCGACTGTTCTGAGCAAGAACGCATCTGGGGAAGTGAAACTGTGAAAGTAAAGAAGAAAGAGGGAAGGAAAGGGGAAGAAGACAGAAAGACGGAAAAGAAAGAAAAGTGGGGAAGTGGGGAAAGAAAAGTGGGCTGACTCTTATTGGCCCACAATTGTAATTTTTTTCTAGAAACTAGTAATTGACCTTTTTTTCATTAATGATTTTTGTTCCTGTATTATTCGACAAAAAAAATTGGTAACATTTTTTTGAATTAATTTTTTACCATTTTACCCTTCAAACTAAAATAAACTAAAAATAATAATATTTTAATTAACGTGTCGGCAACGTATCGTGTCGAAACTTTTTCAAAAAATCGCGTGTCAACGTGTCCGACACGTATCGTGTCGGACACTCATGTCCCTATCTGTGCTTCTTAGGTGGTAACACTTGTCAGTAGGCTTCCTTCCATCTATGGATCTACCTCTACTTTTGCTTCTGCCTCTCCCCCTACCTTGTCTGTCTTCTTGTCCTCTTTCCTAATTCTCTGTAACAAGAGCGTGTGACTAGTAAGTGTCAACGTCTTTTCTCGTGGCCTCTTCATTAAACAGAGCATCCTTATAGATATAATAAGTTTTTCATTAAAGGCTAAGTTGTTGAGAGATACTACTAGCATCTCCCAGCTATCAGGAAGAGAACTCAGAAGTAGAGGGCTTGCATTTTATCTCCGAGTAGCATCTCTACAGATGACAACTGGTTCACCAGGCTCTGGAATTCACTGATGTGTTCAGCAACTGAAGTTCCACTCTTCAACTTCAAATTCATCAACCGCCTCATCAGCAGGGCTTCTTTCCGAGCAATATTGGCCTGGTACATGTCTTCCAGAAGACATATGCATTTGTCTTCTGTGCCACATGGTGAAAGACACTATGATCAATCCATTGTCGCATTTGACCGATAGTTTTTCTATTCAGCTTCTTCCACTCAGNACATGTCCTCCAGAGTCTTCCAAAGGTTATATGCGTCTGTCTCCCGTGCTACATGGTGAAAGACACTATGATCAATCCATTGCCGAATTTAACCGATAGTAATCGCGAAGGTCTTCCGTCCAAGGCCTCCACAATATGTAATTGGTGGTAGAGAGCTTGATCACAGCTCCGGATGACGATTCCTTGATTGACATCTTGAATTCACAATGGCTTAATCAAAATCGGAGCTATATCAAAAACTGCAAAGGCCAATTGATAAACATTGCTCTGATATCACTTATTGTGATTCTCTTATTATGAAAGATGTGATACAAGATGAAAAATATTATATTTCTTACTTGAATAGAATTTTACAAACGCTCTACAAAAACCTCACAAATCTCTCTCTTTCTCTTTCTTAGGGATGTGTTATTTCTATGCAAACTACATCCCTTATTTGTAGAAATTTTCCGCCTTAATGCATTAAAATTTTCAACAAATGCTGCAAAAATTGGTTGCCTTTCTCTGTAAGTAATTTAGGTGCAGTGAGGCAAAAGTCAAATAAGGTGGCCACCTTTATACCTGCGTGTGATGGCCGAGAATTTCAAGTTTTCTTCCACTTGCATGGGGGAACCTTTTCCTTAACAAAAGAATCAACAATCGCGACTGTGCATACACGAAAATTTCACTTCAAATTTCCCTCTTGTATGATATGATGAAGCAAAAAGTCAACAATTGTGGCTACAAAATCGATGAGTGTGGCCGGGCTTATGAATTTGATGGTGCACATCCTAAAACCAGTAATCCACGACTACGAAGATTTGAACGAAGACGAATTCAATCAACTAGATATTCAGAGAGAGATTTGTGTGGTTTTTGTAGAAAGTGTAAAATTCTCTTATAAATTCTATTCAAGTAAGAAATAAAGTACTTTTCCTTTTATATCTCCTCTTACATGATTAGAGAATCACAACAGGATTCAACTTTTACAATTGAAAAGCTCAAATCGTGTATGGTGTATCCTTTTATGAATAATTGGATAACCAATCTTCACTTAACAATATGAATAGAAAGAATTAACCTCAGCAATACAAAAAATACCGCACGTTGACATGTAGCAAAGGATATTTTCTATGAATTTGTCCCTAATACTGAAACAATCAAAGGCTCAGCAGTTGACGACAAATTAAACCCCAAATTTACATGACAAGTTGACAACTTTTAATTCCACCATTAGTAATCCAGTCAATCTTTCCATTATCCAATCAACGGTACTACGCTAAATTCAACAAATTCATTCTAGGATCGACAAATTACACAAAAAAAAGTTTCGACATTCCATATGTGTGAAGAGATCTCAGCGACAGATATGAAATCCAACAAGATGTTCAGTAAAAATATATTAATACTACAGTTAAAATCAAACAAAAGAATGGGACGTAAGGGTATAAAATCGACCTCTTTGGAGTGGTGAAGGCACTCGAAATAGTCTTCACGGAGGAGGCCACAAACCTTGGGCTCTCTGCAGCGGGACATGCTTTCGCTGAATTCCATCCAACAAGATGTTCTCGTATGTACTTTAGGAAAATCA